GCCAAACCTTCTCTCTCTCTCTCTCTCTCTCTCTCTCTCTCTCTCTCTCTCTCTCTCTCTCTCTCTCTCTCCTCACGCCTGCCGTCCATCTGATCTACTGTCCGTCCTCTTGTTCTCTCCCATGAGAGCCGATCCAGCCATTGGTCCCGATTTTTTTTGAATTTTTATTTCTCTTTTCTACAGACCTCCCTGTTACCCCTTGTCGCTTTCATGTATCTCAGCTCCTTGTCTCTCGTTTAGTTGAATCTCCCTCTCATCCATGCATCTCTTCCTCTTCGACTCGTTCTCGTTGTGCAGCTGCCCCTTTACCCCTCCCTTGTGTCCATGCCTACTCCGGACTTCAAACTGCGACTGTTTTTTTCTGCACAACCTCTCTCTCTCTCTCTCTCTCTCTCTCTCTCTCTCTCTCTCTCTCTCTCTCTCTCTCTCTCTGAGATTTCACAAACTTGGGCTGTGCCAGAAGAAGAAGAAGAAGAAGAAGAAGAAGAAGAAGAAGAAGAAGAGGAGGAGGAGGAGGAGGAAGACTCACCTTTACCAATGGACGGCGGGGCAGGGCGATGGTGATCCGAGGTGGGGGCGGACGTGGGGGGGGGGATGCAGTCTCGACCTCGTCCATTATCGACAAAGTGTCGAAGTGACGGGTTGAGCTGCTTGAAAGCAGCTGGAGGCAGGAGGCGGGATGGTGGGGGCGGTGGCTGGGGAACGTATGGATGGCAGGCCAATGCTTGGGCGGTTTCCCGCCCGAATGTTCAATTATGGGCGGCCTATCTGGGCCACAGATCTCACCAGATCGACGGCCCAGATAGGCCGCCAGTTTTTCAATATTCTGGCAGGCCTACCAGACCCGGTTCAAATTTTTGAATTATTTTTCTGGGGGCCGGGAGGCCTCCACGACCCGCATGGAGGCCTCCCGGCCCCAGAAAAAAATCAAACCCCCCCCGCAATCAAATTACGCAAATTTCAACCAGGGGGGGAACCGGCACGGTCCACCGGCCGGTAGAACCGCCCCGGTTCCGGTGGGGGAAGGGGCCCCAGTGGGACCGGGAATTCAGCCTTGTTTCAATGTGCCTTCAAATTTCAAAAGGCGTAAACATGGGAACTGCATGACCTGCTCGGCTGCTAGGGCTGCACGACCACGCGCACAAGCAGGTCGCCCGGCCATCTGCCCGCCCATTCTACACAGGGCGTGTAAAAACTCTGTTAGTTTTTTTTTCTTTTTTTTTTTTTTGTCCCATTGCTGGGGCTCTTCTGCGCCGATTCGAAAGCGGACCAAGGGGCTCGTTAGACACTCCTCGGGCGCGTAAAGTCCCAGAGGAATTGTTCGTTCCACCCATCCTCGGGGATGCAGTCGGAAAAAAAAAGTGAAAACACTCCGAAGGAAATTCCTTGGGCACCGAGGATTACCCAGCCATTTCTTCCTTTCGCCGAAGGGACCTCATGAGGTCCCTTGGGCAAAAGGAATCCGCGTTTCACGGAGAGGAGCGGGCACATGCCATTGGGTAGAGAGACGTTACATCCGAGAATCTGGATCGTGGCGGCACCCTATTGGCTGAAGGCCTCAAGCACATTTGAGTTTTTATCTTCTTTTCTTTTTTCTTTTCTGACATCGATTGAAGGAAATGTCCTCGGGTGACGTCCCCGAGGACAGGTGGAACGAAGGGCCCAAAGTTCCTTTTGAACCAAAAGGAATTTTTCCTTTTGCCCGAGGATTTCAATAGGAGTGTCTAACGAGCCGCCAATCCAGAGTCTTTTTTGTTCTTCAGTGTCGGCCACTGGAGGGGAAGAGGGTGGTATACATGGCGCTTAAAAAGGGTTTAAGGGGCTTTAAGGGGGGTGCCCAAGTTTGATTTTTTCTAATTTCTTTTTTATTTTCAATAATTTCAATTCCATTAGATTCCAGTGCGACCATCCGCCAAAAGTTGTTTGCATTGCCGTTCCAGTTTGTCTTTTCTTTTTGAGTTGGGGCCAAGTGGGGACCACGTCTGGGGGTTCGGCGAACATGATATCATTTATTTGAAATTATTTGAAATTTTATTTCCACAAAACCTGGGCTAACCAGCTGGGCCAGGGCCAGGCAAGGTTCCTGGCAAAAAAACAATCGAGAAACAAAAAAAAAAAATCTGAAAGAAAAACTATGTTATGCAGAATAATAAACTGAGCAACGTGGAGCAAGAGGAGGAGGTGAGGAGGAGGAGGAAACAACAAGAAAAAGAGAACGAGGAGGGGCAGGAGGAGGAGGAGGAGAACCAGGGGAGAAAGAGAAGAAGAAGGGCAACACATTCTTCTCTTCTTCTTCTACCCCCTTCTGACCCTTGTCAAGTCTTGGATCAGGATTCTGTCCAGATGCGTTGTATGGTACAGTAGGCCGCACCAAGGATTAGGGGAAAGCACAAGTTATTGACAGATGATGGTGCTCAAGCAACTACAGAGAAGCCTCGTCTTCACGCAGTTCCGACGCCAGCACTAGATAACGTGTGTTGGCCATTGCTGGTCCATGGTAAAACCCGCCCAGAGTACCGACGTACCTAGCTCAGTGGGTAGTACTGGGTACACACCACCCATGAACTGTTGAAATACAGACCCACGTCCGAATCCGGACGGAATCAGATCAACAGAACAATATAACTCTGAATTACACAGGCTCCCAAAAAAAAAAAAAAAAAAAAAAAAAGAATTACACAGGCCCGGTCAGTTCAATGAATATCTCATCCTTTTTGAGAAAGAAAGAAAAAAGGGGGGCGGGACGGGGGGGGGCAGGGAACACACCCCATGTGGCTGAATTGTACACCCATCAACTGTGCTGATAAACAGACCTGAGTTGGAATCCAGATGGAGGATAAGGTACGTAAAATAGCTCCGAATGTACCCGGGGGTACCCAGGACCTGTCAGTTCAATGATGATATCTCAAGGCCGTCGCCCTCTTCGAAAAAGAACAAAAAAAAAAAAGCTTCCCGGGGAGCTGCTCTCCCAGGCGATATACGACACAACAGAAGCACACTGCCAGAGATTCCCCAGGCCACTTCACTTGCATGTTCAACAATGCCGCACCGGAGCCGCTCTCAAAATGTGAAAAAGACAAAAATGTGGCAGGTGCATCTGGCCATGTTCTAGCAGGAAGTTCGTTCTTATTTTGCACATTTCGAGAGCGGTGTGGCATTTCGAGAGTGGTGTGGTGATGCCCATAAACAGCGAACCACTATAAACAGAGTGACTGACAACGACCAGCCACTGGGAATCGTCAACACTCAGAACCGTAAATAACAGAACTCGGCAAAGAGCGGAAAAAAAAAAAAAGGAGAGGAAGGGAGGAAGGAAAACAGAAGAAATACCTTCTCAATCGCTCAGGTGATCATCTGCGAATCGGACCATGTTCCATCAAGAGCATTGTGCTCACCCGATCCTGCACTTCGACCGGCATTCATACCACTGTCAAAAAAAGCACAGCCCTCCCCACCATCTTCGACAGGGAAAGTCGTCATTAGAGACGAAGAGTCTATCCAGTACCTAGCCCCTTCCCCTTGCGCATTCGCATGACGCAGCGGCCCCTCTCCACTTTGGAACATATGAGCTCCTGGGGCAGCAATGGCCGCGGCCGGAGTCGATAAGTGAAACAGTGGGCGATCAGAACCGTAGTCCACATCGCCGTCTGCGGTCAATTCGCTTCTCTGCATGGGGCGGTTATCGAGAGATGGTCTTCTAGTACATGAACCCTGCACCCTTCGTACCGATGCCTGCTCACCCTCCACAGTCTGGGAGTCTGGCCCTGGTACTCCTGCTGCCCCTTCGGCACCAGCCTTTGGTCCTGGTGCTGGTTCCGTTGCCTCCATGGGACCAGCATCGGCTTCCCGAGATGACACTTGAGAGGAAGCTACATTCGCAGGAGGCGAACACCTGAAGTCCAAGTGTACAGGATGGATTGGGCTTGACAGGGGATGCGCCGACTGTGGTGACAGACCACTCCTGTCGCCTCCAGGTGTACCCGACTTGACGTGCGGTTGTTTACCCTTCGATTGCTTTGTCTTACCACTCGACGGCTTGTCGCCTCCTCGATCACTTTTCACACGACGCTTCGGAGTCGGCATTTCCCTCGAGCCTTCACCTTGCCGCCTCCCTTCAGCGCCTGCTGCTCCGGACCCTGATACCGCCCGGTCGTTTGCCAGAGTAAGGCCTCCTTGACCGCCTCTTTCCCTGATGAGTTGAAATGCCTCCTTCGTTGCGTAAGGTAGACCAGTCTTCGGGTCCTTGTACTTCGCAGGAAGCCCTGTTATTATGCAAACCGAGCGGCGGGGATACGGAGGCGCTTTTGACTGGATTTCGGCCGGAAGCGAGTGCACCTTGGTAAACTCCAGGACATTTATTCCTCCACGAGAATAGAAACGGATCAAAGGACCGGTATACGTCTCTTTCTGGATGATCGCCTTCTTCTTCACCTCCTCCTCCCGAGCAAGCATGATCTCCAATGACTGCAAGTTCATAATCTCTGTTTGTGCTGCTTCATGGAGCATCTCCTCCTGCGTCAGTTTCCTGTCATCGGTGGCAGCCTCCTTGCGCTTCCGCGCAGGGGCCGTCACCTTCGCTCGAGCGCGCTCGCGCTCCCTCTCCGCCGCTTTAACTACCACTGCCGTCCTTGTCGACTTCCGAGTCGCCTTCTCCTCACTGGCACCCACTCCTCCCATCCCATCTCCCGTCTCGGGTTTGTTATCCTTCGCATCACTTTTCCCCTTCGGCACCAGCTGACAATCGACCAGGTCTTCGTCTCCCGTCTCCCCTGACACATCTTTGTCACCACTCTCGCAGGCCACAGCATCCACTGCCGCTGCCAGAGCTTCTCCCGCTGCACACGTCCGGGCGTGTTTCATCTTTTGCCCGCTTTCCAACTTTGCTGCTACACCTTTCCTCTTGAGGAGCACGTCTTTTTTCTTCTTCCCTGCTGCTGGTTTGCGGAGGACATTGACTTTGAGCTTGGTCTTGTTCTCCTTTCTCCTCTTCGAATCCTCCTCCGCTTCCGCACCATCGTCATCATCCCCGTCAGGCTCACTGGCATCAAAGTCGCTGTCAAACTCGTCCACGACCTCCTCCTCGGTCTTATACCCATCATCCACGTCATCATCCTGGAATGCATCCTGGTTCCAAAATGCCTCATCAGCTTGTAGCTCCTCTTCTACGACGACCTTCGTCAAGCGCTTGCCTCGAGTAGAGCGGGCTGGGAGCCTTCTTCCATCCTCTTCTCCCATTTTGCTCAGACGTCCTCCCTCCCTTATGCACAACAATCACTCACCAGTTCTAAGAAGAAGACGGCGAGAAGGAAAAGAAGGAGAATGAGAAGAAGACCAACTCAGCTCTCTCTCTCTCTCTCTCTCTCTCTCTCTCTCTCTCTCTCTCTCTCTCTCTCTCTCTCTCTCTCTCTCTCTCTCTCGATGAAGGTGTCCAAATTCACACATAAATCAACACAAGCCGAGGCCAGGATCCGAAATTTCCAAACTCATGACTTGATTATCAAAAAAGAAAAAACATGTAAAGAAGAAGACAAAAGGAAACTCGTTCCACAAAATCCATCGAGTACCATCAAGGCGGGTCTTCTTATACAAACTCAGAATTTGAACTCACGATCTTGTTTATCAACAGCTACATAGGCGTTCGTTCTACTGACCAATTAAAATCAACAGTGCCCCTCCCAAAGCTATCCACCATCGCAAGGGTCACAATTCTTCCTTTCGAGGGATTAGTAAAATAAAACTATTATTTTTACGAAGAATGACAAAGGATTACATGAGCGAGCATCCACATTACGCAGAGGTGGCGGTTCTCAGCTATTCACAGCAAACATCTTCCTCCCAAAATGGTGGTCACTCGGGCTCGAACGCCTCCCCCAGTCTCAGTTCCTGTGAAAACGAAACAAAATCCAAAAGTCATATAAGCACCTTAACCTTGTTGGAAAAACAATTTCTCCTCTCTCTCTCTCTCTCTCTCTCTCTCTCTCTCTCTCTCTCTCTCTCTCTCTCTCTCTCTCTCTCTCTCTCTCTCGATCGGCAACGGGTTCCGAGGAGCACAAGGCATTTGTCAATAAGATACTTGTTGCTCTGCTGCATACAGACATGGCAGATGGGAAGCACTTTTAGTTCTTTTGGTCGCACGATTCCTCCTCCCTCCCTTGCCCCCTCCCTTTCCTTCCTCGCTGCAAACTTGTTCCCTCCTCCACATAGTCACATACATTGTTCATGGGATGGCAGTGCAATAACTACCGTCTTCACCCGAATAGAACGCCCGGTCATTATAGCTGCATTAGCACAACTTCCGGTCCAGATGCAGCAATAATGACCAGGCATTCCATTCGGGTGAAGACGGTAGTGGCCAGGTCCATGCCTGAGCAGAAACCGGCAAGCATGGACATCGTAACAGGTTTTGGGAGTCTGATGGGGTGAAAACATATATCCCCATCGGCTTGGGGTTGTGTACTCGTCGTGCAATACCAGAAGCAATACCATCTCTCCACGAACGCAATGCACCCTCATCGTAAACGTACAGAAGAAAATTGCTTTGGCTATCATCACAAATGTACACAACCTCAAGCTGGACTCGGAATAATCCGGGGAGTGTGATGCAATGAAGCCAAAGGATCAGCGAAGTGACGATAATGAATCGAATGGACAATGATGCAGCATCAGTGAGGCATCAACGAGCAATGTACAATCCATATGCATACAAAAATAGCACAGTGTAGGGCAGTGGAAGACTCAAAGATACGACCTGACCTGTCGGACACTGACTCGACCCATCCCATCACACACACCACACATGTGAGAGAGAAGGGAGGGACCGCATAGATGGAGGAAAGGTCCCTCCTTGAGCACACACATGGGGAGAAACCACGGATGAGGGGATGGGGGAAGAGCAAGAAAAAAATGGAGACGAGGGAGAAGACCAAAGTCGTGATAGCGCAGTCCAAAATAGTCTCCCTGTCGAATGTCCAATCAATGTCTGCCCCCAGATCCTGGGCCCCATACCCCGACCTAACCTCTGCCTGTAACCTCTCTCTCTCTCTCTCTCTCTCTCTCTCTCTCTCTCTCTCTCTCTCTCTCTCTCTCTCTCTNCTCTCTCTCTCTCCCTCTCCCCCTCACACACACACACACACACACACACACACACAAAGAAGAAGAAGAAGAAGAAGAAGAAGAAGAAGAAGAAGAAGTATAGATAGAGATCTATATCTATATATTAATTGAATTCAATTAGAATGCACCGTGTCAAAAACCATACTAATTTCCTTGTCTGAAAAATGTGTTTTTTTTAACTAAGTTAAAAAGCGTCATGTTCCGTTTCCCCTCAATTGTTCTACTTTGAGGTAAGATGCCAATTTAGACAACAAGCTATCATTGTCACTCATTACTGAGTATCCTCAAAATCTAGACATTCGCAACACACTTGCGAGAGCGGCGCTCCACCAGCTGAGCTATACCCCCATCATCCAAACACTCAATCTAATTTCACTCATATGGAGGACAGGAGCAGGAAGAAGAAGATCTCCTCTGCCTCACCTGCAGGTGACTGCTGCCTCGTACTGATGAGCTGATGTGCCTCTCTGTGCTGCAGGTCGCTGGCGATGGGACCAGCTATGGCGCCCAGGTAAGCTGTCCGCACCTTGCAGGTATGGCCACTGCCTCTCCCTCGACTCTCCTACCATCTACGCCTCTACCTCTACCTCTACAACAGCGCAGCGCTGAAAATAGCACACTGCTCCAACAGTATGACGCCCAAGGAGTGAGAACTCCTGTCTGTCTAGAAACTCGACTGGCCCAACTAGGTATAGCGCTGGGCCGGGCTGCGATCTACAACCTGGGCCGTCGGATTGGCCGTCCAATCGATGGCCCAGGTTACAGGCCAAAGTCCTGCTCCTCTGGTCCTGGGCCAAAAACGGCCTACCTGGGTCCCTACCGGACGTCCAGGCCCTCCTCTGCTGATATACCAGGGAATGTCCGCTACCGGACGACTCCGAACCTGGCCTAGAATGGCCCAGTTGGGAACCTGGGCCCCATGAGGCCCAAGCCCTAGTCCAAACAGAGATTAGTTTGTCCGGACATGCTGCAAAGTCTGAAACCATGCCCTGGAACCAGACAAAAATAGAACAGACAACACGGTCAGCAAAAAAAAAAAAAAAAAAAAAAAAAAAAAGATGCTGGCCATTGCTGGCTCAAACAAAGGGCCTGTGTGGCACACAATGACGTGCCAGGCCTAAAAGGATGGCTGTGGGCCCCCAGGTCGTGTAGGCAAATAGGTGCACGGCTTGGGGGCCCTCACCAATCGTCAGATCCCCGAAATGGGGCCCCTGTGCAGGGCTCAGCAGGCAACACTCCCACCCAATACTGCCATTAGCAGGGTGCGTTGTGTTCGGGGAGAGATGAAATTTTTAGTAGGTACTTGTCCTTGAGGCATGTAGTTTTTCTACCTATGTGTGTCATACTTGAGAACACCTCGTGGGCAGCAGTCGTGCGTAGGCGGCACATTGAGCAATGTGCACGAGGTGCGCCGGACAGGGGAAAATAGTGGTCTGGGACGAAAAAAAGTTGGCCCGGGGGAGCGGGGGGGGGTGGCAACATCAGCCCCTGGTTTCATTAAAAATGAAAACTGGGCGGCGCAAACTTCTTTTGGGGCCGCGCCAAGACCCAGAAAAAAAAATGAGCGGCATCCCGCTTGTGGTGTGCATATAGCTCTACTCCCATCCGCTCCTGTTATTCCCACAGTCAATAGACTGCAACGATTCGAACTAACGAGCTGTCTAGTATCAGTTGTACACGAGAATACCATTCAGCCACGTGCATTTGATAGGAGGAGCTCATCACCGACAGAAGGTTAACCGACCCCCCATTTTTCACCCCCATTTATAAAAAATAAACAAAGGGTCATTTTAACAATACTTCACACCAATCTGTAGAGTGCACTTCTTACTAACTTATTGTAAAAACAAAACAAAACAAAAAAAAATTAAAAACATATAAAACAGCAAGGCAAAAGTGCACTTTCATGAAATTTTACCAACATTTCAATTTGCCGATTTTCACAATTTTCACCGCTGCCCAAAACAAGCATCTCCAGGAACCCAACAAACACCAAACTTGACACA